GTAGGGAAAACAACTGCAAACAGACTGAAAATCACAAGCAAGGATTTTTTTCTGAGTGCAGACAATTTCCTAGAGATTTTATGCATCAGTAAAGCATAAAGCCCCAAAGCACTCAAGTGCTGAAGAATCAACACTTTTCCAAGTGTACAACTTTGCCCATGGGATTTTGACAACAAATGGTACTATGATCCCCAATCCACCTCCCCCTTCCCCAAGAAAGTGTGCTCTTGGCTCAGTAGTCACTACTGAGTGAGAGACATAATAAAAGGAAATTTAATTTCTAAACAGGCACACAAAAGAATTGCCAAGTGCTGCCTTTGCAAGAGCTATTATCTTCTCACATTGCCAATGCAGCTGCAAATTAAAGCCCAAGTAGATCATTTTTCAAGAGGTCCTGCATAGCACTGGCTGCAATTTCCAACAATTATTCACTATAAATAATGGACTGCCTATATGCAGCATTAAAACTAACAGCTGGGGGTTTTGTTTTATGAAGAGGAAATGGTAGGTATGACAGCACTTCATAATTTCACTATAATGCAAGTCACTTTTATGAACCAAAAAACCCAAACAAAACAAAGGACATTACTGCATCACTGTTTAAAAAACAAGACTTTTTTCTATTCATCAAAATCAGCCTCATTAGATTAAAAATATGAGGCCAAATCGGCAATTAAAATCAACAGAGTTTTGCTGGAATATGGACTTTGTAAAAACTGAAACACAGAATAATCTCTCTCACTCAAATGCTGACATTGGGAACCTTGGGCATTAAAGGCCTCCTATGATAGGAGTTCTCTTCAAATTACTTCATACGTGTGTGGAAGACTGAGGCATTCTCACTCTCAGACTTGCACAATGAGTACAGGTCTAAGTCTGTCTCAATCCTGGGAGGCAAGGGCCATCCACGAGTGCACAGGTCACCGACATAGGGGTTCCCTGTACCTCCTCTGCTTCCTGTGGTTCCACTAGAAAGCCTCTCCTAAAGAAGTGGGCAGAGGAACCGCACTGGCAGTGGTAGGCTAGGCCATGGTACAACCTCCATGGAGGTGGGTAACAGAAGTTGATGGATCTACAGTCATACTTGGCTCTTAAAAGCTTCTCACCCATGAAGGGCAGGCATAGAAACATCTCCTTGTCTTGAGTGAATCTTCTGTGAAACACAAGAAATGTTGTTGACATATGAAAATGCAATTTATCTTCTAAGTGATGCTTAATTTGGCTAGGATCATTCACTAGTCCTCACAGTATCCTTTGAGACAGGTATTATTATTAATCTATTTAATAGCTGGGGAAACAGAGACAATTGACATATGTCACTAAACCAACATCAGATCTAGGACAAGGGATCAGTGTTTCTGGTTCTCGGTCTGCTGCCAGTTTGCTAATTCCTAACTGCATTAGAGCAAATTGTATACCTTCCTATAATTATTTTGGCATATGGATGCTATGAGATGACACATAGGAATGTTATTAACATAAAGCTGAAGCCTTGAAAAAAACTGGGAGCTCCTGCACTGCCCCAAGAGTTATGGTTGGCAACAATTTAAAAATCACCATGGTATTTGAGCATCTTTGTAGGTTTTGGTATACATTAATCAACTTGTATGCATGCATATGTAATGGGTCATTGAAACCATCCAATCCCTAAAAATTCTGAAAACATTTCATCATGCTGGAGTTCAAAGGTTAATATTGCTTCTGAGAAATGCTTGTACTGCCTAAATAATAAAACTCAGGTAAATAAATAAGAAAATCAATCATTCAGCCATTCAATGGCAGAAAAGTTAGCTTCTGCAAATGTGCCACATACCTTCATAAAGCTGGGCATACTGTGGGAATCCTGCTGCCCGCAGCCAATCACACGCTTCCTTGGCCTCTATTTCTGTAAGAGAAGAGAAGCAAAGCACCCTCCGATCAGTGAGTTGCAAAGAAAAAGGTTCTTCTGTACCTTTTTTTCCATTATGGTTACAAAACGGGCATGCAAATATGCAGCAATATACCTGATGAACAGGGATTAGGGTTTCTGTTTCCCATGGAAAAATGAACCAGCCCACCCCTTTTACCTGAGAAAAGGGCGGATGTTTCATTTTAACGGAGAAACATGCAGATTTTGCTCTTGTGCAAAGAGCTCTCTGTAGGCTGGCAGAGTTTCAGCCTGCAAGGGGCTGGGGGCAGTGGGAGGGGGGCGGTCAGGCAAGGTGCATGTACATGCACATGGCCACCAGGCAGCCTGGAGAGCAGCTCCTACAGGTAAGTGGGAAGGTGGGGGATAGGAAATTGAGGTCCCCATAGGGAGGGAGGGAGTTGGGTAGGGCAGGGCTGGGGCTGCCATCCGGCTAGGCGGTGTATGGGGCTTGGGGCTGCTGCAGGGCCCCAGAGAGGAGCAGGACAGGGCTGCGGGTGGCTTGTCTGGGAGGTGGGGCTGGCTGCCTACTGCTACATGCATCCTGAGGAGACAGGGGGGCATGTGCCCCCCAGATCTGTGTGGGGTGGGTGCAGGCTGCCCACTGAGGGCTAGGGCTCTGCACTCTGCTGCCTTCCCCCGGGTCTGCACAGCCCAGCGAGTGGGACCCAGTGCAGCAAGGTGGCGAGAGGCCAGGCAGGGAAGCTTGTTGCAGCTGCTGCGAGCCCTGCCCTGACCAGGCGAAGTGCCCCCTGTCCACCCTGGAGCAGCGAGGGGCACAACTCTGTGCTGGGTGCCCTGACTGCTCTGAGGTGTGCAGTGGGCACGTTGCCAGCACAGTGGCTGCAATGAGCTTCCCCACCCGGCCCCAGTCTGCCCTGCCACATTGGGTCCCGCCTGCCAGGCTCAGGAGGCCCTGGGGAGGGCACCAGGGCAGGGAGCCCAAACCCGCAGTGGCCAGCCCACCCCAGCCCTGTGCCCAGATCTGGAGGGCACATGCCCCTAGGAGCATGCGCAGAGGTGGGGAGCCGGCCCCTCTTTTCTGCCTGAGCCCACAGCAGGCAGCCCACATTTACCCCCCCACGGGCTCTGCTCTGGCCTTGCTGCCCGTGGGGGAGGGAGAGCCGGGCTCCACGCTCAGGCTGCAGCAGCCACCACCTCCTATGGGTGGCAGCCAGGGTCTGGGCAGTGCTGTGGGGGGCATAGGGCTGTGGACCTGGGTGCCTGGCCCTGTAGCCCTGGTAGCCGGCGGCCCCCTCCAGCAGGGCTGTGGGGGTATGGGGATGTGGGTAGGGAGTGAGGGGCACCAGCAGTGCCCAGGGGGCTGTGGTTGGGGAGTAAGAGGCCTGGACCTGCATCCTGGTGAGCTAAGGGGGTAAGGGGAGCTCTGATTTTCCATGGTAAAAAACTCAAAATCAAATACCAAAATTTATAGGTACTTAGAATTTATTTTACTACCATGACTGAGGCACTGGTAGACTTCCAAAGTGCTTTAAAATGATATATATATATATATCAATAAAACATTGTGCTCAATTGTTATATACAGTGATGTTTTATTTTAATCATGGATTTTGGGGTTTTTATCAGAGAAGTTGTGATTTTTTTTTATCAGGGAATACCAGGAGCCCTGCTGATGAAATAGCAAGCTCGTATTTTCTAGGCTTTGTTGTTTCAAGTTTGATTTCTTTTTTCTTTTGTGACCCACACATTATTGATATTGGAACTTAAGTAATGCTCATCTCAGTTACAAAATGCTCAGTATTACAATATTATAACTATACATGACAGCTGCTGCTATAATAGACTAGTCTACCCAGATAAACTGGTGCTGCAATTGAAGTGAACAGTATTCATTCAATAAATCATGTAATCTCTTGGCACAACTGTTTTCTCTTGACAGAAATACCTAATAAAGCTTGTAATACCCTGTGCTTTAACAACATGTAGATAGTACTGATAGACACCAAGCCTATGAACAACTGAAACATTGTGTTACAGCTCACTCAAGCTTGTATTTACTACCCAGTCAGAAGTGAGCAGCACTGGAGGTCCACAGGGCACCTACAAATTACATGGCTTACGTATGCAATATTCTCTCCAAACAATTTTTGCTTACCTGCCACTGGCAAAATTAAAGAATTCCCAATCATGCACATACATCGCACTTGGGAGAAAAGAAATGTATCCAATGATTACATGCCGTTTTCTTGGAAATATAATATTATCTAATTAGTTTGTGTTTTTACCCCATAAGAAATGCAGAAATTGATATTTCATTAGGTCACAAACCAAAACATAATGATTATTAAGTGCAGCTATAGAAGAGCAGTTATGGTGTAAACCAAAACTGTATTGAGCTAGATTTGAATTTCAATGGGCAGCTGCTATATTATATATCACTTTGAGAAGAAAATAAAGTCGTGAAAATAGTTAAGCATTCTGCTTATATTTGACATAGAAGTGAAGTAATAGTTCATTCCCAAAACTAAAGAAATAGTATTGATAGCACACATACATGTTCATAACAAACTGTTTCAGCTTGTTGGCAAAACAGCCAAAGAAATAGAAACCAAATCTAGTTATCCACAGTAATCAAACTTTAAAATGTAGCATAGTGGCCATTTACTGTGGCATTTTTTCTTATCATTGGTCCATTTTACCAAGGGATTCACCTCATACTGATTAAATTAGGCAAGTGGAAAAAAAATGTTAAAAGTCACTTGCTTTGATGTTGAAGATAACATACAAAGATAAGTTATTTTCCTTTTTAAAGCTTTAGTTGTGATTACTGCAGATCCAGGGACATAAAGAACAGTACTGTCCTTGCTTTAGCTTTTAACAATACTAATTAATACAGAAGTAAGAATTAGCAGCTTACTTACAAGAGGAAAATAACTTTCCTCTTCCTGAAGTTGTACAGTGCTCAAAAGCTCTGTTAATACATGTAATGTGCTAGCTCTTTAACATTTTACTTGATCAAACAGGTGGCGAGCAGATCAGAAATTCTTAATGTTTATCCAGCCTCAACTACATTCAGTCTTCTTGATGGACCAGAACAAAAAGGCTTAATTAGATACAACCAATTAGACAATGTTGCCACCTACTTTGACCCTATACCATTCCCATTTATTTCATTGAGCACATGCCTTAAGTTTAATACAAAATACTGCATATAGAACTGCTAGCAGTGGACTTAAAACAATGCCACATTTAATAGGGTATATCTTGTAACTGTGGCACACTTTAGACAACATCCCCACAAATGCATGTACACCACAAACTCAAATGGCGTGGTAGCCAAAATGCCAAATGATTTCATGTACGATGAGCTTCCAGAGTTACTGCAGGGTTAAAAAAAAAGCTTTCTGTTTGCTAGACGCAGTCTACTGCTGCTCTAAGATATGCATCCAAATCAAGATGTCAAGGAGAGCCAAAGCACAACATGCAAGATAAATAAATAGCCAGAAATCCCCTCACTGAAGTAGAGGCAAGCATTTGTGCAACTTGCATTTGCTTCACCTTTGGATTAAGGGACAACATGAGAACAAGCACGTACAGCCATACCCACCCAGCTATTCATTATGTTTTTTCTTCAATTCCAGTTGTAAGTCCTAAGAAACCTGGGGTTGTATTCAATGCTGGATTTTAATTTAGGCAGACTCTAGAAGAACATAAAAGAAAGCAGAGAGAAATCCCACCCAAATGTATTCTTGGTCTCTGATTTTGCTAAAGGCATAAAATACAAGTAAAAAAGACATTTATGGAGATTCAAATGCAAGAAATATTCAATTAATAAGTTTCAATAAATTCTCAGAGATGTTTAAAATCCAATGGTTAAAATAATCATTTGCATCACAGTATTTCTTGGGACAGATTTTTTTTGTCCTCCCCTCCTTCCCCATTATTTTTGTTTTCCTCACAACAGCAGTGGAGTAGTGATTTAAGAACCAGTGGGTTGATTGATCGAGTGAGCTCTAATGTTTCAGGAGGGGTGTGATTTGTTTAATGTCAGCATTCATTTACATGCAGATACTGCACTACCCCAATCTCCATCTCAAAGCCTTCTGTAATACCTGGGAAGCAGTGTGAATCTAGTTTTGGTCCCTTAAACACCTACACTTAGTCACTGCTGTACTTAAATACTAGATTCCTTGCTCAGGGAAGTAATTCATTTAGACCAAATTAGGTGCCTAGCATCCCCAGACAGCCTGTGGAAAGAATTTGGGAACATCCAGTACCAATTCAGGTGGAGGTGCCTACATGCTCCACACAGATGATAGGGAGCATATGTACCTTCAAAAGGTGCCAACGGGAAGCCCAGTGGCATCTGGAGGTAGCCAATGAGGAAAGTTGAGCATAGGGAAAGTGTCTTAATTTCCAACCCTTCAGAAACTTAGGGCATTTATACACACACCTTTTCGTCCTGCAACACCCCAGAGATCCAGCGGGTCAGAGCGGACTTGATTAATTGAGTCTGCTCTGCATGTGAGCTAATGCGCACTGTGCTGTGTTGCATGCAGTTGTATAAGCAGCGACATGCATATTAGCGTGCAGAAAATGGCGGCAGCGCACTTCTGAACTAAAACACCTTTGAGGTATTTTGGTTCAAAAGCGAGCCACTGTTTTTTCAGTGCTGACACGCATTTTACCACTTATACAACTATGTGCAACACAGCGCTAGGCGCTTTTAAAAGTGCTTGGTGCTGTGGTGCGAGCATGTATACAAACGTCCCCAGGTGCCCAATTCACTCATTACAATTCACAATGCCTCCATTGTGAGATGAGCTGCGTAATGGTTTCTGAAGACAGGGAAGAGGAGATGCTAGCTTCCTGATCCAAGGGATGTGTCGACACGTGCATTTACTCTGACCTAAATTTACACTGGTGTAGTAAACTAATCTGGTGTAAATGCTTTCGGGCAGGCATGTACACATACGGAAATTGGGGAGCAGATTTGCACTGGTTCCTGCCCCTCT